CACAAAGAGGCGGCAGGAGCATTTAAGCTCCTTGGAAACACTCATTTACCTGCCTCATGAGAACACGACTTCTGCTCATCGTGTGCATTCAGCCCCTGCTCAGGGATTAAAGGTTCCGGTGCACTAGAGCAACTCCTTCAAGCTGGGGGCGTGCACCCCAAGGGTGTGCAAGATGGTTCATTGGGATGAGGAAAAACTAAGACTCTACGTGTTTATCTGTAATCTCATCATTTTTTATGTATATTTGTGTGTTTTATAGCACACGTATTATTTCAATACTCAAAGTATAAAGTTGATAAATAGATATGCCTATATTAAGGTTGAATACTAAAAAAATAATTTACTTGTATAACTGCATGATAAAAAAGTATTTGGAACTTGCTAATTTAGATTGTTATCTTCACTAGGATCAGCTCTTCTGTGGCACTGTTGGTCTCTGCCTGTGTCTGTTGGGACAGTCCCAGAGCCATGCAAAGAGACTTAGCAGGTATATTCCAGGCACTGAAAGAGGGCCCAGGGCCACATGGAGGGAAAAGCGGGACTCGATTCACAAAGAACTGCTAACAGCATCATAAACAAGCACATTAACATAATTGTTGGCCAGGGCAGGGCCGAGGCACAGGGATGGGGCTGAAATTCCTTCTTAAAATAAAAAAATGTTTTGTGCTGTGTAATGTGTGGTCTTGGTGGGAATTGGTACTGTCATAAATTGTTCCTGGTCAATTAGAAATTAGAAGCAATGAGTGATTGCAAAATATAATAGTATAGCTACTGCGTATGAGAAAACAGAGCTTATTTTATTCTTTCCCACAATTAATGAGAGTAAATAAGTAAGGAGACAGGGAGAAACTCAAAAAAGCTTTGCTTTGACCCAAAGGAGTTTTGTTGGATTTTGAACCGATGGGGAAATACAAGTTTCCACCAGTTAATTGGAAAGATTGCCCTTAACCAAACATACACCACTTGTAAGTGTGCTGCATCCTTCTGTTACCCAGAATATGAGAGATTGGATGTGGGGGAGCAAAAACAACAAACATGCACCACAGTTCTGAGCCCAGATTACTAGCTGTTTCAATGATGTTACTGGATACTGTACTTGGAACACACACACAAGTGCACACGTGTGTGTGTATACGTCTGAGTGTGTGTATATATGTATGTGTGTATATAGATATATGTGTGTGTTTATATGAGTGTATATATATGTTTGTGTGTGTGTGTGTGTATACCATAGCTCTATTATGTTTTAAAAACACAATATACCCTTAATGCAAGCAGGCTTTATTTATACTGCTCCAGGGGACATGTGCATAGTATGGGGGGAAATTATGGCTTTTCCTCCATCACTATGGTAGACATATGATCAAGTATAAATATACAGCAAAGTGTCTTTGGAAATCAAGTGCTGTGTTTATCTCTGTGTGATGAAGCTGTCAGTGTAACCTGTATTTATTGAACCACAAGTAGGTTATAAAACTTCCATTAATGAATGTAAGTAACTCAGTTGTCATAAACAAAGAAAGGAATTAGCATTTGCTTCAGACCCAGTGAAGCCGCACTGCACATGTTCTAAGAATTATCTTAATGGCTCCAAAACACTGCCACTTACATCTCTGAGATTAGCGTTTCAGAATTATTAACTCAGTGCAAACTCAGTAAATACCATAGATATGTCTCTGAGGAATAGCCACCCAGTTTCTTGCATACATTCATCCTTAATAAACACACACTATTCAGTGACATTTCTTGAGCAAGGAGACCTTCCCCAATTCAGAACGTCTGAATTATGGTATAGAAATGTGTCTTCCCTTATGGAAATATTCTGAATCTATGAAAGACAACTTCCTAGTGTCCTGCACTAAATTTCATAAAGAATTTTCCCTTTGAAATAATACTATAAGTCATAGCTTCATGTAGCCGCAACAGAATTATTAGCATCAGATATTGGGTACTTCATGGGTTAAAGAAGCAATCGTCTTCTTTCCTAAGAACTTAAAAATGATTCATTGGAGAAGCGTTATCTGAATTCCAAATGACCTACTTATGAATAAAATATAAGAAAAATATGAGCCCATTCTATATCAGAAAAGGCTTATATACTGATATCTCCTCTATAGTAAAAAAGATTGCCAAATCCAGGTTGATGACCTATTTATTTAAAGCAAATTTGATTCAATAAAATTCCCATGCACAGTAATTGGGACAGCCCTTAGAATTCATCTTAGTAGAATCGTAGCTGTCCACAGCGAATTGAACTTTTTCTCATCACCTCATCTTGGTTGCCTACAATTTAACTGAGTTCCTGCAAGGCAGGAATCGTAGCTTATTCCCCCGCAGGTTTCACCTGAGGATCTAGAAGGTCAGACAGCTTTCTGGCCTGTGCATGCAGTTCCCAATTTATAAATGACTTCATTCAAAATGTTGGCCTGCACGATGATTGTCTGCAACACAAAACATTTTATTTATTTATTTTCCTCTAGAAACAATGCTATGCGTGGTGCTCACCTTCTATAAATGCTAGCTTGCACACCAAGGGCCACACATGAGAGTGATTCCTCTTCTCTTTGTAGAACAGTCAAATCAGTGTGTGTGTCAGGGTCCCCAGGACCACCCCCGGGTATGAGGACTTGCTAAGAAGACTCATAGGACCCAGCGTACAGTCCTAATCATGACTCAGAGTTATTACAGCAAAAGGGCACAAAGTGAATTCGCCAAAGGGAAAGGCCCAGGGGGGGACATCTGGAGGACACCAGTGTGGGCTTGCCAAGTCCCTTCCTGCTGGAGCCATACAGGGTGTGCTTCATTCCTCCAGCAATGAGCAGTGAAGTGTCGTCTAGCTAGGCAGCTCCTCTGAGCCTAGGAACCCAGGGTTTTTACTGCGGGCTGGTCACCTTGGCACCGTCTGCCAGGTGTGCACCCTAATTCTGGGGTGCCAGAAAGAAAGCGGGGGTCCAGCATAAACTACATTGTTTGTACAAACAATCAGGCACAGTGAGCCCCTCTCATCACGGAATGGAGGGAGCCCTCCCGAAATCCAAGTTCCCAGACGCCAGACCAGGGGTCAGCCTTGCACGCAGGGCTTTCTAGGACCGGCCTTCTCAGACCTGCTGTGTGAGCTGCTTCTGCACAATGTGTTTGAAAGTTGTCTTTATGGGAAATAGTGTTCTTAATGTTCGGGGAAGGCAAGTCCTCCTTTACTCTCCAAGCCCCAGTCCCAGTTATTGTCCCCTCCCTGCTTGCTCGTCTCCTGGGAGTAAGAGTGAGGATTTTCCCCGGGGCTCGGGATCCGCGGCATCGCCTCTGTGTTCGTACAGTCGCAGCCATCACGGATCTGGAGAAGGGAACCCAGAGGCTGCCTCTGGCATCTTCTTCTACCCCGTCACCCAGCAAACTCCCCGTTTGTCCCCCAGTCTTCTTGCTTCAGAGCTCTTCATATTTTGCTCAGGAGGAAACATGACTTTTTCAAACACATAGGCAGTTCATACATCGAAAGGTTTTCAGTTATTGCATTGTCCTTTTACTGTACACCTTCCATCCCATAGTTGTTTTTCACTTGGAATTTCTTAGAGAAACTTAAGGACATACAAGGAAACCAGTTCTGCTGTGGGTCCTCCTTTCTCACTCATGCAGCTTCTCAGTAGGGAAGGAAGTCACTGGTATCTTGGAGAAAAACCTGTACACATATCATCTAATCCCTTCCGGGAATGAATGAAGGAAGGAATAAATGAATGGAGGACAGAAATCATAAGCAAAGTCTGTGGTGGAGAGCGCACCTGCTGTGGTAAATATGTCTTCATCTAAAGTCTCAGTACATGTTAGATCTCATGACACGTGCTGACCACTGTTGAGTGTGACAGAGGGTGTGAGTGGGATCAAAAGAAGTGGCTTGAGCATTAGAAAGTTTAATGTGAAGCCAAGGAAAGCACTGAGCATGGTTCGACCCGCATTGGGGGTAGGAGCCATTTCAAATCCTGGGTCACCTGCTCATGGGCTGCACGATCCCCAGGTTTCTCAGCTGCTCAGTGAGAATTAAATTGGTACTGACCTCATAGGGCATTGGGGAGAATTAAAGAGGATAAAACTATAATGAACTTAGAAGCATGTTTGCCTTATGGTTAATTAATCAATACGTATTAGTAATGATGATGCTGTGTGATGGTGATGACATTGATGATGACTACGTAGTGGGAAGAGCAAAACAGAAGCAGACGGATGTGTTCACGTCTCGGCACCTCCCTTTTCCTATGGGCCATCATTATTCCCTAACCTGTCTGGATGGGAGCCTCTTCATTTTGGACTGGAACTTTGCTTGGGAAATGAAGTAATACAGATGAAATGTCCATCAGTGCCTGGCATAGAGGACGCATTCAACAAATGTGCCTTGTTATTATCAATTTTAATTTTGAAGTTATAATTCATTTCCTTTTTCTACTTGGTTTTAACTTTAGGGGTTTTCTTTTTAGGAAGATTAGCCCTGAGCTAACATCCACTGCCAATCCTCCTCTTTTTGCTGAGGAAGACTGGCCCTGAGCAAACATCCGTGCCCATCTTCCTCTACTTTGTATGTAGGATGCCTGCCACAGCATGGCTTGATGAGCAGTGCACAGGTCTGCACCCAGGATCTGAACTGGTGAACCCCGGGCTACAGAAGTAGAGCACACGAAGTTAACTGCTACACCATTGGGCTGGCCCCTAGTTCTTTTTTAAAAATTAAACCTATCCGCTAACACAGTGTCACTCTTTGTACACAGTATTGTGTATCTGATGCTTGCCTACTGTCAGGGTACTGTTACTAGCTCCTCTGTTAAAGGTAAGAATAACTGGGGAAAAATTAGGACAGATGGATTGGAAGGTGATTGCAAATATGTGATTAAATCCTATTAAGCATAAGCTTACACCTGCCAGGCAACGAGGGGCAGTTAAGTTCACGGTGTTCGCAGAACCAGCAGTAACCCCAGAACCCAGCACTGTCTCAGCTATGCACTCGCTCTCTCCCACAGGGCCAAGGTGAAGAAAGGCGTGAGCATCGTTGGCGTGAGAGCCAGCAGCCCTTCCATTTGGGACGTCAAGGAGAGCGTGGATTATACTGGGAAGTATGCACCAGCTGTCATCATTTGTCAGAAGAAATCAACTGGCCCAGAAAACAGGTGAGTCCCAGTGGCCTGCAGTAGATTCACATTAGCCGCAACAGCAGCTTCGTTTTCCCAGATTTGCTAACAACCATTTTCACTGTGGTTTGCATTTGGCATGCCTCATCTATATTATTAGTGCTTTGAGGTAAGACGGATGGAATCCTTCATTTGGGAAAGGTGAGCTATTATTCACAGTGAACTCACTTAAAATCCTAACACAGCTCTGGGTCACCTGCAAGGACCACTCCGTGCAGATGGAATTTATCTACAAGTGATGTTACACTTCAACATGGCCTCTTTCTAATTCATATTATTAGGTGAACTGAAAGTCTGGGCTTCTCTGATAAAATGACTCATTTTGCAAGTGTTAAAAATGAGAGTGCGTTAATCTCTTGCCACACGGGTGCATTCCACGGTCGCCGTGTGGCTTTAAATGTGGCGTGTTGCTGGTATTTGTCTGCAGGCATTTTCCAATGGTACGGCCAACTATCTGCTGTTTCATCCTGTTTCCTGAAACTTCATTTGTGGCTCTGCAGAATTCCTAGTCTGGTCGCATATTTTTACCACTTTTACGTTGGTTGCTTTTTGCTCTTTGTAGCACTGGAAATTGAAACAAGAACGAATGGACGAACGCCAGGTATGTAGCACATTATCTCTGGAGTCAGAGTTCTAAACTTCATAGCTAGATGTTTGGAGAGAATGTTTATTTTCCATTATTTATTCTAATATGGAGGTCATGAATCTCAGCCGACAGCTATTACACTTTTTTGAGTTCATTTTCAAGGAGCATTTGATGCCACTTTGGGGATGATTCTCGGAATCCCTTCTGTGCTCCTTGGCTCCACACTGGTGCTCTTGGATTTGGCTTATCAATTCTCCAGCTCTGATTTGTGTCTTTCCTTTTTTGACTGATGATTCAAAAATTCTTTTTGAAGATTTCCTTGTAGAGCAAACAGGAGGGAAAAGAAGGCATCTGTATGTGAGTTCTTCCCTAGATGTTTATGTCGCGATCGTCCACCACGCTGGTTAACTTAGTGAACCTGCAAGTTCGCACACGCTCAAATGTCTGGGTCATGATTTGGCAATAAGGTATCGCCTCCGTAAAAGGTTTCTTTTGTGTTGTGAATTCAGCAAAAATTAGGAAGGATGGATAGATAGGTAGATGTTTTATTCCTTACACAAGAGGAGGAGGAATTTCGGGGAAAGGATCCTGACCGCCGTGCTTTTGTTTGGGCTTGTTCTCTTTCTCGCCGTCTACTCTGTGGATTATTCTTAGTAGCGGTGGCTGTTATGCTGTTGTGTTATCTATGAAATGTAAAGGGATTTGGACTTCTTTTTTCTTTTGAAATTCTGGCTAAGAGTTAGTTCAGTTCACCTTGGGCGTGGAGAAGAATTAAGGAGAATTTCCAAGGGGAGTTCCTCCCCATTCAGGTGTAAGCTTCCTTTTTATGGATCAAATAATACATGTCCTTCCAAGGAGTGTTAACAGTTCTTTAGATGGGACGGAAGGAATGGAAAGTCAGCATCTCCAGAACATATCAAAACGTGCAACAGAATAACACTTGCCCTTTTGTTCTTTCATCTGAAGATTCTTTCAGTATCTTCTTTAAGAAACAAGTACCCTGAGCGGAATATCAGGCTATCCCATCAAAGTCCTGATAGCATCATGCATTCTCTATGGAGCATGTGCCTTATCCCTTTGTAGATTCTGATGTCAGTGTTCTGTTTCCTACAGTGGGTCCAGAAGATGGAAAACAGCATACACACGCACACTTACATGTGTCTGTGTACATAATATGTTATATATGCATATATAGCGTATTATCTATGTTTATATTTAGATAATATATATGTATGTATATAGTATGTTAAATACATATAGTATGTGTCTGTGTATGTAATATGCTATATATGTATATATAGTAGATATAGTATAAATATAGAAAGTATCAGTGTATAGCACATATATTTGTATATGATGTAGGTGTTTCATTATGTGCATGTATATACATGTACGTTTTAATGTGTTTTATATATACACACATGTTGATGCAGAGGTTTATTTTATTCTTTTGGAATCCAGTTCTCAGACTGACGCTGGGATGGCTTTGCTTAGTGAGGAGCTGCAGAACGGCACTTTTTTGGTTTGGGAACCTTGTCTGTCTTGTTCGCAGCTGTGTTTCCAGTGCCTGCAGCAGTGTCCAGTACACACGTCTGGGGCTCTCCATAAATACTTGTTTAATAAAGTTCTGGAATTAGACCATATCTCTGTTACTATATATATATATACGATGATGCAAATCTGTAAGGACACATACTGAATGGTCTCCAATATCCTGTTCAAAAAGGTGAGGTGTGTAACTGTGTGCATATGTGTGTATTGAAGCCCCGTTTGAGGAAAACACAGAGAAGCTACTTTCTAAGCAGAGGGACTGTCAACAATGATTTCTCCTGGGGGAAACTGGAAAGTTGGGGGAGAAGCCGGAATGTGAATTGCTTTTTACTGTGAACCATTTGGACTCTGATGTTTTTAACTGTGTGCCTGCATTACCATTTAATAAAATGTATAACATTAAAATAGACATTTTCGAATATGATATATTCATTACTATATTCAACTTTCATCCTCACTTCAAAATTTTTCGTGTTACTTCTGTCCTTATGGAATCAAATAAAGAACAGGCACGTCCCACTATTTGTGCGAGTGAGTGAACTGGTGGGAGATCTGTTTCTCTTTATCCTAAGGATAATTGGAGAATGGACTATGGAGTGGATGTTTTAGTATTAGCAGGTTTTGCTTCGGAAGTTCTTTTGCTTTATAAATTCTTCCTACTCTCTTTGAATGTTTTCAGTTATTCTTAAGAGTCAGAATCTGATCATTGGAATGCAAACGAGGCGGTCTTCATTAGCTTGAGAGTCATGGATTTTGTGTTGCTAATAATTCACCATGAGTCACGAAGTTGCGTTAATGAAGTTAAGCCACTGTGACAGGTGTAATTTTACGGATTAAAGAGACACTTTTGTGTGAGTGATGAACTCAACGGGAAAGAGTGAAGATCTCTTATCTAAGTTGAAATACATCCTTCCTTTTTTGAAGAAGTTGGGTTGCTGCAAACCTTATCATTTCAGTATTAACATAGGAATGTTATCACAGCTCTCAGATCTGTTTTGACTAAGCATTGCCAGGAAATATTGTGGAACAGAAGCAGAATAATTAGTTTTGCTCCGTCCATCAAATTCCATTTTGCATTTTCAGAATCTTGCTCACTATAGCACTATGAAAACTTAGATAAATGTATAACAAAAGCCATATTTTTAAAAATTTCTTTGCTCTTCTCTGCATAAATGAGTGTTTTCCAAAGTTTACTACAGTTGCTACTTAAATGATTTTAGGTGGCACATAGAAATGGGACTAAATAAACTTGAATGATGGGAACTACATGCTTTTTAGTTCTCCAGCAAGACGGCTGATTGAAGAGAAGTTCATCTCCTTTAGGGGCTAGTTTGTCTTTAAAGCTTCTGTCCTTTGTTAATAGATTGTAGACAGGCAAGAATACATAGCTAGAATTTAATCCTTTCCCATAATATCATCTATTTATTTCATACGATACTGATTTTCCATTTATTCTAGGTAATATGTTTTATTTTAAAACAAATATAATTTAAGTAATGATATGAGCTGCCATAAATAAAAAGTGAAGTTTCAAATATAGACAGATATGATTAAATCATGAATGTATGTTCAAAGTTAGAAAATGCTGGCATCAATAAATATATCCCATACTGTGTTTGTTAGGATTCTGTTTGATTATTTAATTTTTAATGCAAATAAGAGTGACTTAAGCAAGAGAGAAGTTTATTTCTCTCGCACATAAAGAAGCCCTGATGGAGGAAGGGCTGACATAGCAACTCCTCAGTGCCATCATGGTCTCAGGCACCTGTCTCTCTTCAACATCATGCTAATGCATGGCTTTTATCCTCATCGATTAATATGGCTGCGGGAGTGCCAGCTATCACATCTATGTTGCAGGCCAAAAAAAGTGACAGGAAAGATCTTCTCAGCTGGATCAATCTCTTTGAGTAAATTTCCTGGAAACTCCTGCCAACCCCCAATCCTCTCTTGCCTCTCGTTGGTCAGGACTTAATCACATGGCCACACCAGACTTCAAAGGAAAGTGGGAAACATCATTTATTACAGGCAGCAGTGTGCCCAGGTCAGAATCAGTTTTCTGTTCCACAGAGAGAAGAGCAGACTGGATTGCCTGGGCAGCCAGAAACCTCTGTCTCAGCAATTTATAAAGAATAAGTATTGTGGGATTTCCAGTAGGATGATGGAAATAGTATATAGTACTTAACCATCTTCTTCATGCTACCAGGTTCCCATGGAAATTTCCAGTGAAATAAACAGGGGTGGGAGGACCCCAGCATTAGCAATGCACTAGAAAAGTTAGCATGCATATATTAGAAAGTTAGGGAAATATTTGTTAAAGTGCGGATGGGACTGGGTTGAAGGAACATGCAAAGATGGCCAATCTCAAATATGCATAAGAAGAGAAGGATCTGCAATGTGAGTGGGGAAGACCCAGGCTAAAAGTCAGGGCTAAGTCCTCATTGAGGCTGTAGGTTGTGGCAGGGTGGGCTTGAGCGTGTCAAAGCCAGCGAGAGCTCCTCTGTGCACAGGTCACTGTCACAGGCAGAGTCACCAGGCGAGGAGCACAGCTTTGGGAGCAGCCTCCCCCAACAGGCAGAAAACCCCTAGACGTATGAAAATATCACTGTAAGACAGTGTTTGGGGCAAACCTTGAAAAATCAGCGATAAGGACAGAATTTCCTACATGAAGCAGAGATTCTGATTTTAAGTACTGATCAACATTCTCAGATTCAAAAGAAGCATTGGATTATAAAAGATGGATCAAGCCAGCAGGAGAAGACGCCATCTGGGACAAGAAGGATCATCAGAAGGTGAAAAACACAATGGCCACTGGATCTGCTGCCATGGAAATAAAATCAGTGGA